AGACATACTCTAACAAAGCCACAGCCTCAGATTTGAGACAAGGTTTCTGAAGCCCACGCTAGCCTCCCAAGGGTTGATATTACAAGTGTGGCACTTGGATGTGTTTTATACTTAGGATCACATCTCATGACAAGTCTTCTGAGTGGAGGAGTCTATTACTTTCCCCATTTCACAGATGAAGGAACTGAGGCATAGTTAAGATTTTAAGAAATATAATTTAACACTTATTTATTTTTCGAGACAGGCTTTCTCTGTGTAATAGCAGCCCTGACTGTCCTGGAACTTGTTCTGTAGACCAGGTTAGCCTTGAACTCAGAGATCTGCCTGCCTCTGCCCCAGTGCTGGGATTAAAGGAGTGGTCACACACACACCCCGCTAAGGATTTGTTTTTACTTATGTGTACATTTACATGAATGTATGACACCAGTGTTCTAGTACCCATGGAGGCCAGAAAAGGGCATAAGGTTCCCTGGACCTCGAACTACAGGTGGGTGCTGGGAACTGAACTCGGGCTCTCTGGGAAGCAGCAAGCTCTCTTAAGTGCCGAATCTGAGCCTGAATCTCTCCAGTGCCCTCAGACCCACATCCTTTAATCACTGGCCTTGGAGTGGTATGAATGAAGGACTGAACAAATGAATGACTGGGCACATGATCCCAGGGAGTCAGCAGGCAGAGTACTTTGGCCCGTCTCCCGTCAGGCTCCGCTGCCCTCAGCCACTTGGCCTCCCACTAGACCAGAGGCCAGGCTGGCCATTTCCTTAACCAGGAAATCCCCAAGTCTAGGCAGAGAAGATCTGACAAGTTGCTTGCTGTTCGGGGAGGAGGACAGGGAGGTGACCTCATGGACCTTCCATCAGAAGGAACATGGGGCTTCCCCAGATTGAAACAAACCCGCCTTCACCATTAGTTCTCGGCATGTTTAGCCTAAACCCTGCCTGCTTCCTCTCTCTCTCTCTCTCTCTCTCTCTCTCTCTCTCTCTCTCTCTCTCTGTCTCTCTCTCTCTCTGTCTCTCTCTGTCTCTCCCCCCCTCCCCCCTCCCCCTCCCTCCTCCCTCTCCAGTCTGAGGGGCAGTCAGGGTTCCCTGCCCTGTGGAAAGTCCAAAGTCCTCCCCGCTCCATCTTGGTCTAGGAAGGTGGACNCTCTCTCTCTCTCTCTCTCTCTCTCTCTCTCTCTCTGTCTCTCTCTCTCTCTGTCTCTCTCTGTCTCTCCCCCCCTCCCCCCTCCCCCTCCCTCCCTCTCATTGGTTTTTTGAGACCGGGTTTCTCTGTGCAGCCCTAGATGTCCTGAAACTCACTCTGTAGAAAGGGCTGACCTCCAACTCAGAGATCCGCCTGCCTCTGTCTCCCAAGTGCTGGGATAAAAGGTGTGTGTCACCAGCACCCAGCTTCCTGCTGCTGCTTCTTTTTTTTTTTTTCGAGACAGGGTTTCTCTGTGGTTTTGGCTCGAACTCACAGAGATCCGCCTGCCTCTGCCTCCCAAGTGCTGGGATTAAAGGCGTGCGCCACCACCACCGGGCTTCCTGCTGCTGTTTAAGAGACCAGTGAACCTCCCGTTTACCCAGGCCCCTGGGAAAAGTCGACAGGGTTTCGGGCTCTGTGGATAAGGCCATGAGGGTATGCACAGGCTCACCGAGGCAGTTTTCTAGCCCTTTACCTACTGGGAGACTTTCTCAGCAACACGTGGGAGGAGTGTGAGGCCACAGTAGACTGTCCAGTAGCTGCAGAGAGTCTGGCGCAGGACACCCCTCAGCTCTGATGCTGGAGACTCCCTTCTCCCCAGACCCCTCCAAGGGTTCCAACAGCCCTGGGCTGTGGGCACTGTGCCCTGCAGCTCGACGCACAGGACTCCTTGGAGCGCAGACTCCGCTTCTAGAATGCCCCTTGGCAATGTTACTCCCAGCTTCATGTGCCAGTGTGAGTTGCGAATAAGGTCAAGAGTGAGGCCTGGCAAATGCTGGCCATTAGTGAGCCACGTCAGTTGACCAGAACTGGGGCAAGTGGCAAAGTCAGTGCTCAGGGTGGTTATAATTGAGATAGGGTTTCTGTGGAGCCCTGGCTGTCCTGGATCTCCCTTTGTAGACCAGGCTGGCCTCGAACTCAGAGATCCTCTTGCCCCTGCCTCCTGAGTGCAGGGATTAAAGACCTGCCACCTTCACACAGCATATGGATTTACCAATAGGCTCTACCTGCACTGTGTACCCTGGGCCAAGCCAGGCAAGACTCCCCAAACACCATTTTCCTGAACAATACATATAATGTAATAGACGGTTTTGTGATGGGATTTCACATAGCCCAGGCTAGCCTGAGCTATTCCCCTGCATATACTGAGTGCTGGAATTGCCTGGTTTATGGGAGTTTGCATGCTGGGCAGGTGCTCTGGCTGAGCACGTGCCACCCCCAACTACATGGAAAAGGGAGTGTATTGGGACACCCTGCTTCCCTGTCTCCCCATGTGACAAGATCTATTCTTTTCCCCTATGGTCACCAGAAGTGCTAGTCACATGCTCCAGGATGGTCACATTTTGAAAGGCAAGGTCTCACCATGCCTGGTTTATGTAGGGACAGAACCCACGGCTTTGAATTCAGATAGACAGCCCTGAGTGTTATTGGGGGTGGGGAAGGATTGAGACAGAGTTTCTCTGTGTGCAAAACCCTAGCTGTCACGGAATGCTCACTCTGTAGATCAGGCTGGCCTTGAACTCAAGAGACCCACCTGCCTCTGCCTCTCAGAGTGCTGGGATTAAAGGCTACCTAGCCCTGAGTCTTAGAGGTGTGTTGGCTTGCCTGGAACCCCTATCTCAGGGTAGAAGTCAGGTAAAAAAAGTGGGTGAAAAGGGTTAGAGAGACAGCCCCATGGTTAAGGAGCACTGACTGTTCTCCCAGAAGGCCTGGGTTCAATTTCCAGAATACTCTAGCTACACAGGATGAAATGCCCTCTTCTGGCCTTGGTGAGCACCAGACACACAGTGTAGACATCAACATAGGCAACACTCATATACATTAGTAAACAAACAGAAGCTATGGCCAGGTCGGTAGAGCAAGTTGTGTTGGCCGAGGCTCTGTGCCCCAGATCTAAGCCTGCTCCCCAACTCTGTCTCCAGGTGCATGCTCAACCCAGGCAAGAGCTCCAGGGCAGTCACCTGCAGGGGGAGAGCCCCACAGCAGAGGGGGCTACACAACTGCTTGCCCCTCAGAATGTGAGTCAGGAATGGGGCATGCCATCTCACAGGGCACACAGGGGCCCAAACTGTCTCCAAAGGACAGAAGCCACTACTCTGTGGGAAGCATCAGCAGTCACCAAGGAGCGAGATTCTACCATCCCACAGCCCTGAGTGTGGGCCCTGCCTCCCAGAGGGCTGGAATCACAGGCGTCTCCCCCTAGGCTCAGCTCAGGGCATCTTCTTACTGGCTTTCTGAGACAGGATCTCCTGCAGCTGACTGGCCTTGAACTCACCATGTGGACCAAGTTGATCTTGTACTCCTGATTCTTTTGCCACAGCCTCCCGACAGGCAGGAACCATCACACCTGGCTTTCAACTTGACATTTTGAACACCTGCTGAGTTTTTGCTTTTGGAGGCACAGAGGGTCTTGGTCTCCGAGTGTGGGGATCACGAAGGCCTGTTCTACCATGCTTGGCTGTAGCCACCGGCCTCTCTCAAGTCCTTTGAATGGAGAAATTAACCACAACAATTGGGGCAGTGCACAGTAGCAGAACTCCCAGCTGGAGACACCGAAGCTTCCAGAAGTGGGCCTCTGGCCTCCTCGCTGGATCTCTAGGGGAGCTGCCTGGACTTGGTGCACAGGGCAAAGCTAATAAACACGAGGCTCGTTTCTGTTCCCTCTGGGGCAGGAAACACCTTACACATCGGCATTGTGTCAGCGCAGCTTTCAGCACTGGTCTTCCTCAAAACCAGACCACAGGAACCACGTGTAGGTGGGGCAGGTGAGGGGCCACCCACTAGGTGTCAGATCACACAGCCAGACAGCAGGGCAGCTGGACAACCAGAGGGTCAACCCTCCTGGGCTTTACAAGCCACTAAGCTTTTTATTTAAATGAATCTAGTTTAGCACAGACTGACCTTGAACTTACTATGGAGCAGAGAAAGACCTGGCTGTGTGGCCCCGCCCTCACACCTGGTGTCTGCAGTGCAATAGAACTTGGGTTTCACACATCTACAGGAGCACATCCCCAGCCACTAGAACTGGAGACCACAGCCGTCTCCATGCCCCTGATCACTATGGTGCTAATCAGCCAGGATCCCTAGAATCGGAAGCTGTTATGCCACCTACTTGTAAACGAGCCACACCGGTCCAGGGACAGTCCTGTTGTGTGCTATGACATGGGTAATGTCTCCAAAGGTCCACTGGATGAGGGCATGACCTCAGCCTTGGTGAGGTGGCAGAGGCTGAGGGGAGGGGTCTGATGGAAAGAGGGTGGGTGCCAAAGGAGTGTGCCCCTGAAAACAACATCAGTCCGCTCCCGCTGTTTCCTTGCTGCTCCACTGTGCCCACTAAAGGCCAAAGAGGGCCTGAAGGATCCTGGCTGGTGCTCCTGGGCACCGTGTTACCATGACAACTGAGCTAATACTGCTGCAGTCACCCCACCAGGGGAGGAGGCATACAAAGAGCACTAAGGCACCACTGGGAGCAGGGGTCAGTATGACCGTCATCCTCTCGCGCTCTTCGGTGGCTGCACCTGAGTGGGACACCATCTTCTGCTTATTCCCCTGTTCTGGGCAGCAGATGGCTTCTAACTGCAGGACTCAGAAGATCCCCAGTGGCGGAGCTTTTCCTCAGAGTTCTTTCTTCAACACAGGTAAGATGCAAGGGTGTAGGGGCTGGACACGGCTCTGGGACTAAGAGGGACTTCTTCAAAAACACCAGGAACATTTAATCCGAGAGGGACGGAGGGGAACACCCCAGCCAGTCCTCCCATCTCCTACTGCCACCAGCCCACACCCCCATTAGACACGCATGAAGACAATTTAGAAAGAATGAATTTGCATGTGAAAGGCATGGATGGATTTTATTTATTACCCTATATCTACAATTTGAGGTAAAATATAAGGAACACATAAAAATGCCTATCTCTGCTACCGTGTGATATAATTTCCCATTGTGAACACCGTGGTGACGCTACTGCCAACTGTGCCTTCGCATCCTCTACCTTCTGAGAGCTGGTACTTTATACAGCTGCGTCGTCTGCGAGCCTCCGCTTTCAGGCCTTAGGGTGGGAACACCGAGGTGCGAGAACTTGCCCGACTCTCCCCACACCCCAGCCTGACTCAGCCAGCTCAGAGCTGCGCCCCACAGCACCCCCAGGCCACTGTGGGTCCCAGGTGGGGAGGCCGAGTCATCCAGCTGCTACAGCAAGCACACCTGACCTCCGGCCTCTTCAGGGTACACCCAGATATTTACTTGCCGCAAAGTAAGGGTGCAAGAGGCTCCGAGAGCATCCTCTACGCGGAGACGCTGGCTGCTCACTGGCTGGCCTGGCTTTTAATTACGTCAAAACAGAGGAACCATGATGTAGCTCAGGTGAAGGCCCCAGTCAGACGGAGAGACAGCAGCCCTCCCTCAGGCCGGAAGGGGAGCCGAGTGCAAGGTCACGGAAATGATTTTCAATAGAAAAACTAAAGCACTGCCTAGCACAGGGGTTTTCTTGGCTGCAGAAGCCAAGATGCCCAGGAGGAACATCTCCACTGACTGGAATACCACCGCAGCCCAAGGCTCTGCCCAACGCATTTATATATATAAAAAAAAAAATCTAAAAGTCGTCCCTGCCATTCCCTATCTCTCTCCAGCACCGCTGCGAAATCCTTCTAGTGCATTCCCAAGCCAGCCAGGCACGCGCACCTCATCACGCTGCGCAGTTCGATTCACAGGACTGCTGAGAAAGTAGACATTTCTATCTAGAAGTAGAAAAGAAGGTTTGTATAGAAGGTATTTCTGTTATACAGTATATTACAGAGCTGGCAGGGCGCGTCCGAAAGCTCTCCACCACTCACGCCGGAAGCTGAGCTGGAGAGAAAAAGAGGCAGGCAACGGGTTAGCTGGAAGGCAGCAGCGAGACAAACCTCTTGCCACACACCCTGCAGGCGCTGATAAAAGAACCGCACAAACGCAGGTGTGAAAGATGGCTCGTGATCCGCTAGCCTAAGCTGGGAAACACGGCAGAAGGCAGGCGGGGGCTGGGTGACAGAATGCAGTCTCCTTACTTGTGGGTTACAGATAACCCCATTAGTGGCTGGGTCAGTGACAATGGGGCTGGGCTTGTCACTGGCCTAGAGGTCAGTCCAGCAAGGAGGAAACTTGGCATCCAGTTTCAAAACCTGCTTCTCCTAAGGAGGAGTACAGCTACATTACCGCCCAGCCCTCTATTCCAAGACATGGCCACACCACATACCCTGGCTGCTTGGAACCTGGGAGAACTACACCTGCCTGTGCCTGTGCCCTCATGCCCTACATCTGAGTGAAAAAAAAAAAAAACGTCGACCTGCAGCCCCCAGCGGGCATGTGTTCCCTGAGGGTAGCCTTCGCAGAAGCGATGGCTGCTTCTGCAGGTAGGTGTAGACCAAGGGCAATGGGGAGATGATCTTACCCTGGAGACGCGGTCTACCACGTGGGGTCTGGCTCCTGCTTGATCTGTGAGCTCCCATCCGTGTCTTTAATTTCTAAGGGAGAGGGGCAACAGGAGCTGTACTACTGAAGCAAAGCCGCCTGCCTGTACCTGGAGCCACACCGGCCCGCCGAGACCTGGCTGCCTGTACCGGGAGCCACACTGGCCCGCCAAGACCTGCCTGTCTGTACCAGGAGCCACACCGGCCCGCCGAGACCTGCCCGCCATCCTCTAGTTTGTTCTGTAAGGAACCCAGGGCCTGGCACAAGCTTTCCAAGTGTTCATCTGCCGAGCCACAGGCAGCTCACCACCTGATCTGCCAGGAACAGATTCCATATTGCTTTGCGTGTACTTCTGGCCATGCCCTGACTAGGCTATAGGGATCTAGAATTTAGCCAGAGTCACATGGGAAAAAAAGAGGGAGCCTGCCTGGAGTCTCCACAGAACATGCAGAATAACTTGGGACTAAACAGATGGTTCGGCAGTAAAGAGCACGTGGGGACCTGAGTTTGATTCTCAGCAGCCTCAGGAAGGTTCATTAACATCTAATTCTGGTGTGGGGTGTCAGATGCCCTCTTCTGGCTTCCTTAGGTACTGCATGCGCATGGTCCCCCAAAATGTAAGCAAGCTAAACACCCACAGACATTAAAAAACAACACACCACAGCCATGCTGTCCTGAGGTCCCAAGGTCACTCTAGATCTCTACGATGAGGCAACACAGCTCTTACCTTCTGTTGCTGGAACTTCCAACTGGCTCGCCTCAGTGGACTCTAAAGAGAAACACATCTCTTTAGTCTCATTTGGGCAATTTTCAAAGCTTGCTTTAAACTATTTAAAGAGCCTAGAAGGAGAGGAAGAAAAAAAGGAAGGAGGAGAAAACCCCAGTGATGGAAACAGCCTGTCGACTTTTTGCTGTAATTATTTGGTTATTTGTCTGCATGTCGTGCCTTCAGAGGCCCTGGAGCTGGAGTTAAGACAGTTGTAATCTGCTTTGTGGGTGCTGGGGATTGAACCCAGGTCCTCGGGAAGAGCAGCCAGTGTTCCTAACCACTAAGCTGTCTCTCCAGTCCCAGCCTCCACATGCATGCGCACCCACTTCACCAGGTAGCCTCTTCGCTTTGATGTTTCACTTTAGACCACTGATCCCGAGCACTGTGACATCACGAATGACCTAGGATCAGGGGTTTATATCGCTTGTGGCCCAGTTACCACGTAGGAGCCCAGATCAAGTTTCTGTAAATTTACTGGTCTTCAGTAATGGCAGGAGAGGAAAAACCCGAGGGTGTCTTTGAGCGTGCATAGTGTGCACTGTGACTGTGAGCAGCGGCACCGAGCACCAGGACTGGTGGTGTGTTCCTCTTACCTTGCATCCCAGGGCCTTCGGGTTCATTCTGATCAACCAGCTCTGCAATGAAAAGGCACAGTTCAGACGACTCCCTGACACATGTGAACTGTCCCTGACTATTCCTACTCGGCGCCTCGCACAAGCGGAGCAGAGCGGGCAGGACGGCTCTGCAGGAGAAAATGCCGCCTGCAAACCTGACAACCCGAGTTCAACCCCGAGGCCCATAGATGGCAGGGGAGGAGTGACTGCCACAAGTTGTCTCCTGACCACCTCAGGACCCCACACACACGAAAAAGGAAAAGGACAGAAAAAGGAACACTAATAGTCCTCGTAGATGCCACCAAAATCACACATTTCACAGGAGTCGCCTGAATCACAGGGTCCTGTACGAGGACAAGAACAAAGCCGAGCGTCACCATGGGAACCTATGAACGGGTGCGAAATGGTCTCTGGAAGACAGGAGAGGTGGCTGCGGTGGCATACACCTTTAATGTGGGGCTCAGGAGGCAGAGGCAGGTATCTCTTTGGGTTCGAGGCCAGCCTATTACATATGCTGAGCTCCAGGTGAGCCAGGGTGACATGAGTCCTGTCTTTTAAAAAAAAGACAGATGAACTGAAATTTGCAAGGGAGACTCAAGAACAAAAAATTATCATGGACTTTTAAAACTGTGTGTGTATGAAGTTTGTGTGAGCATGTACGCCACAACATGAAAGCCAGAGGATGAGTCTACAAAGGTGGTTCTCTTTCTCCACCTTTATGTGGGTCCTGCTAGCTGGGCCATCACCAGTCGTTCCTCCCTTTCTGTTTGGAGACAGGGTCTCAAGTGGCCCAGGCTGGTCTTGAACTCTCTATAGCCAGAGATAGTGTTGAACTCTAGCTGATCCCCCTGCTTCTGCCTCCCCAGCCCTGGAATCGCAGGGTTTCCCCCTCCATGCCCAGCACTTTTGGGGTCTGCGGCCCTGCTGAACTTTAGCACTGTGACTGCTAAACGAGCTGTGTTAGCCCAGCAGGAGCTGGCCAAGACCTGCTCACAATGAGCCCTTTAAACATGCTCTCCACCCACCTCCCCTGAGTTACCATGTTCTGACTACGTGAGGATGAGGGGAGTCAAGCAACCCGACCAATTTCACATGGAGGGGACGTCCTAAGGGATGGCTGATACAATGCATTATTTTGCAGGTTGCACTGCACCCACCCTCCAGACTCTCAGATCCCGAGAAACCAAACAAACAAAACAAAAATTCAAGAAATACTCACGGTTATTAATCACAAGTCCTGGAAATGGTCTAAAGAGAAAAACAAATTGTATGTTTATTTCATAAGAACATTTGCTTACTTTATTAATTCACACCACTTATGCCCTACTTTATAACCCTATGAAAGAGACATACGACTCCATCTGCTAACAATGACGCAGTTGTATCGGTATGTATCACATACAATATACACATCAGTTATTTACACTAGTTACACTGTTGGCTATGTTCTATGTGTTGTCTGACTGTTATCTAGAGCACACGTGGACAGTATACGCAGGTCACTACTAGCAAATGCTGCACTAGGACAGGCATGGTGGCACAGGCCTTTCTTCCCAGCACACAGGAGGCAGAAACAAGCAGATCTGAGTGTTGATGGCCATCCTGGTCTACACAGCGGGTTCTAAGTCAGCCGGAGGTACATGGGGAGATGCTGTCCCACCCACAAAAGCCCCAGAATATTCCACTACAGTGGAAAGAGAAAAACTCCTCCGTCCGGGTAGCTGGAGCGTCGAGTGAATGGCAGGTCTACCGTCAGAACCACATGCTCCGTGACACCAGCTTTCCCTGTGGTAACTGACAGACAGCTTAGGTTTTCTAGGCTGTGATACTCTGGGGTTTCATTACGCATCACGAGAAAGCAGTCAGAAAATGGCAACAGCTGGATGTAAACCCATCTGAAAGGACAAACAGGCCTTGGCTGCCAACTTCTCACCTTAGAAAATGGAGAACTGTTGAGCAAGGTGGGACACAACTTTAGTCCCAGCCCTTGGGAGACAGAGGCAGGTGGACCTCTGAGTTTGAGGTCAGCCTGGTCTACACAAAAAGTTCCAAGTCAGGGACATACACTGAGATTCTGTCACAAAACAAAACACTGTAGAATAAAGTTAGTCTAATGGAAGACAGTGATATATAGCTATAAATAAGACAAAGGCCAAATCCAGCCCAGGCTGCATTGCAGGGTCCTATCCCACACCTGTACTCCTGGAACTTTCAGGCAGAGAATCCGAGGGTCTGAGGCCGCCTGAGTGACAGTGAGCTACAGACCAGTCATCAAGAGCCAATAGGAGCCAAGCGTGTATGGCGCAGCAGAACGCCGGTGATTCCAGCGCTGATGAGACAGTGGAAGGTAGCTCCGGCAGAGAAAGCCCGCGGTAACTAAAGGCATGTCTGCCATCTCATCTTCCAAATGCACACAACAGCGCTCTGAGGAAGGACAGCCTGCTGGCCTCCAGATGCGTTCTGACTAAGCAGGGCGTGCTCACCTAATGACAGTGAACTTGATAAACTCAGCAGAGTCCAGGATCCTCCTCATGGAGCTGATCTCCAGGTAACTGGGGGCCTTGAAGGACACCCCGGGGGGCATGCCGTCCACCACCACGCAGCCGGGGTTGATGGTGATTTTCCTGTAGGGAACCTTCACAGGGAAGCCCATCCCAATAGCTTCACCTGCAGCGAGACAAAGAGCACAGGGACCAGCGTGACCGTAAGAGTCCTCTTCAAAGCAATCACACACAAAGTCCAGCAGCAACCCGATTAGATTTTGACCCTGGCCATCAAGCAGGGCACCTAACATCTAAGGTTTCTCAGCACATGATATAGGTATGAATAATTTGCATTAGTATAGATTTTGCTTTATTGATAGAGATTTAAGGTCAATTTTGTTATATGTATATGTATTTCTGATCTTGATTAAGGTATTGTGATTGTGTAGTTCACTTAAAAATGTAATGTATATAGGTTGTTAATGGATAATCAATAATAGTCAAGCTTGTAGTTATGTTAGTTAGATTTTCTAGATGTACATACATATATTTTAGATAGACATTCTTCATATCTTTCAAAGACTACAAAATAGGACATTTAATGTTTTAATAACTTAGGGCTTTTCATGACAATGAGACACGTCTGCTCCTGGCAGCATCAATCTACTTCAAGAAGAAGATGGGCATCAAAGAGGCACCTTATGAAGTTTGATAGCCATTTGGGCAAGAAACTGCTCTTGCCTGGACTACTGCATAAACTGGACACAGAGAACCCACAGAGAGAGAGGACTACTGGACTTGCCTAAAGGTGAGATGATCTTTCGGGGTTCCTGATTCATGA